CAGGAAACAGCACATGCTTGGAAGTGTGTGTGAACCACCTGCTTACAGTGCAGTATCAGGAGAGTTGGGGAACATCCTTTTGTTCTGTGCTTGTGTTTGCATTTTTTGTTTTTTAGCATCACCTGAAGAAAATGGAGGGTCGACGCCTGGATTTTGATTACAAGAAGAAAAGACAGGGCAAGCTCCCTGATGAAGAGCTTCGTCAGGCTCTGGAGAAATTTGATGAATCAAAAGAAATTGCTGAATCAAGCATGTTCAACCTTCTGGAGATGGATGTGAGATACCCCTGTTAATCTTTGACCAGAGTCTTAGATATTAGAAGAACTTTCCTCCTTGTTGGACAAAGAGGCTCAGAAGCTGTAGTAAAGTGCAGCATGTTCATATAGGACTAATTTTTTAGGTATTTTATAGGTAACTGAGCTAAAAAATATAAATCCTCTACAACATTGTTATGCTTCCTAACTGCAGAGTGTCACTTACTAAACCAAAATGTCTTTCTTTTTAGAATTATATAAATGTAAGTAATGACTTTTACTTAGTTATGGTTATAGAGTCTGAGCCAAGGCTTTTGCTCAACTGTTTGGGCTCCTGAGAGGATTGGTAAAGGTGAGAAATGAACTCACAGTCCCATGGTCTTTGCTGTAATCAGATGCAACAGTAAATAGGAAAACCAAAGTTAATTTGACTGTTTATATCTGACTCTGCAGCATATGTTTTGCTTATAGACTGGTTAGAATTGAGCATTTATAAGGTTTATCTAATCTTCTATTTATAATTAATGTTGAAATTGTAAAATTAAGTGAGAAGAAACATTTAGCTGTTTTGGAGGAAAAAACATGTCAGGTGAAGTCTGTCTTAACAGAATATATAGTCAAAGGAAACTCAGTGTAAGTATTTCCGTTGATGTAAATTATTGGATTTGTTTTAAGTTTAAATACACACACATGGCTGGGCTTCGCGAATGAAGATTTGGGAAGGGCTCTACCCACGTTTGTTGCAAGCGCGTTGGTGGCCGAAAAGGCCAATATGAGACAGACATGTCCGGTTGCAGAAGGCACAGCAGAAAGACTCCTTAGGTGGTATATTCTGCAAGGCACGATTCTTTCTGTGTTGCCTTTTCTCCTCAAGAGTGATCCTGCGTGTGTTCTCAAAGGCATCAGCAGCATTATAGATGGTGTGTCTCCAGGCTTCCCGATTGGAGGCCAGAGTAGACCAGTTATGTTGATCAATATGGCCAAAGCTGAGATGTTGTTTCAGGGAGTCCTTGTATCTCCTCTTCGGGGCTCCTCTCATGCAGCAGCCAGGGACAAGTTCACCATAGAGCAAGATCTTAGGGAGGCGATGGTCCTTCATCCTTGAGACATGTCCTGCCCAACACAGCTGTGTTCTCATCAACATGGCCTCAATACTTGTGACTGCTGCTTGTTCTAGAACAGATGTATTGGTCACATAATCTGACCAGTGGATGTTTAGAATTGAGCGGAGACAGCGCTGATGGAAGCGTTGTAGGAGTCGCAGGTGGTGGCAGTAGATGACCCATGATTCAGATCTGTATAGGAGAGTAGACAGCACAATGGCTCTGTAAACACTGATCTTTGTGCTTTTTTTCAGGTGTTTATTTCGCCAAACTCTTTTATGAAGCTTTCCAAAAGCACTGTATGCCTTTGCTAACCTCTAAGTTTAAATACACACCTAATCCAATTCTACATTCTGTCACCGGATTGCTGTAGAGCAGCCATAACAAACCTGAAATATTTGCATATAGAAATTAATATTTGCATAAAAGTGAAATATAGATGTGCTGAAATGAAAAAAGTATTAAAGGTTTGTAGTTCTAATCCTTGTAGTAACATCCATCCCCATGCAGCCAGACAGTGCTGGCCTGCATTACACCATTGCAGCCTCGTGTTTTATGGAAACTGTTGGCAATTGCATTGCCCACACAAGTGTTTTGGATGTTTTTTGCCTCATGAAGTAGAATGCTATCTGCCTTCACAACAAATATTCTGCATCCAAGTGTATGTAGTATCATCCTGTTTTGATCTGCTTCACAGGCCAGAATACAACAGAAGCATAACCATAGTCCTTACGGTTTTGTGCCCCTCAGAGGCAGGGTGGGAGAAGGTGTATTATACTCTCATTACAGCCTCATTTACTTTCATAGTGTTCCCAAATCTTCATTCACGAAGCCTAGCCATGATGATGTTGTTTCTGAATGTGGTAGGTCTGTAGGCTGCTGTTCATGCAAATCAGCCATGGAGAGATGATCGGCAGAGAAGAGTTGCTGTTACCATTCCAGATCAGGTCATAACCAGACATGGTAATGAATAAAGACTGATGTGTAACTATTTATTATTAACTACAAAGACAAATCAAGTTTTTAGAGAGATAAGTAAAACTGCCTTTGCAGTGGACAGTGGTCTTTGCTCGCTATTGCTTAGCTGTTAATATTCACCTAACATCTGATGTTTGAATGTCAATCCTCAGATTGAACAAGTGAGCCAGCTTTCTGCTCTTGTCCAAGCCCAGCTGGAGTACCACAAACAGGCCACACAAATCTTACAGCGAGTTACTTCTAAGCTGGAAGATAGGTAATGCACTTTTTGTAAGTTTATTAAATAGATTTTTTGTTAGTTTTGCAGAGGCAGAAAACCTGTGAGTAGAATGCAGCGCTGTTATCTTTCTCAGTTTGGTATTTGTATGTTTATGAAAGCAAGGGCCATTGCAAGCTGGGCAATTGCAAGCTGGGGTTTATATGTTTTGGAAATGCATCTACTTCTGAATATGACTCAGTCAGGACTGAGTTCAGGAAAGCACCTCAGCTCAGTAAAGCTGTTAAATGTAATTTAACTGGAAGTAAGTGTTTATAAATATTGAATTCCATGAGACTTACGACTTTGGATTCCTTACTGTTTGTGCATGTATTCACAAAGTACTCATTCTGAGAGGATATTAATAATTGCTTCTGAAAAAGAGTATCTTGTTGCATTCTTGTCTACCTGAAGACCCTCCTAAGCCAGGTAGTGAGATTGTCCTTATTTGCCACCTTCTTAAATACTCCTTTTTCCAGTTTTATTATAAGATCAAACTTGATACAAGACTTTAATGAGTTTACCTCTTCCCTGCTTTTCTCTAAAAGCATATGCCATTAGAATTGAAATAATATCTTCCTAATAGAGTTTTATAATTTTTAGTTTAGAATTTTTGTTTTCATCAAAAGAGATTGATCAGCTTCCCAGACATACATCCTTCTTCAAGGAAATTTAACATACAGGAAATATTTCCTTAGTCCATATGGTTCTCGAAGACTCTTAGTAAAGGCTGGATATAATTCCCAAGACAAGATAATGTTCACATACTGTGTGAACCTGATTATGCATGATTCTTTGCTGTTTTCTGATGTCATTAGTGTAGATCAAATTACTGGTACTGCTGCGTCTGTCAGTGTTTATTTTCTCTGAGCATACATTCTGAAAACCTCATTCGGTTCTAAGTGTTAAAATTATGATTCGGAGCAGCACTTGTTTTGGTAGGTAGGCTGCCCAGCTGACTGTTTCAGGATATAGTTTGCAGTACTTTCTAAACAACTAACAAAACAATTTTCAGCACTTCTAAATTAATACTGCAATTCATTTACTTTACAAAAGTATTAAAAAATCCTCGGGAGCAGGTGGGTTGTTTTGTAGTCCATAAATTATGCCATTAAGTGAACTTACCTCTCTCTGCAATAGATTTCTCTTCCTGTATCAGTTGAGATCATCCTTTTCCCTTTTGAATAATTTTAGATTTTCAAGGATCTTGCATCAGATTGCTATTATAGTTCAGCTGAAGTACATATTTTGCATAAGCTTACTGTGCATCCCTAATTGCAAAAAGTCTACTGGATAAATCATCCTTTGTTCACACCACTGGACACAAATTAGAGCTCTGTGATATGCTCATGCCAGAGATGAGGCAGGAATGTAGAGCTGTCACTATTTGAACTACTACTCTTTTCCTGATGGTGATACGCAGGTGGAAAGGAAATGCATGGCCCCTGGATTTTGGGGTTTGTTTTTTGACTATATGGAACAGAAAATAAATAATGCTTTACTTTTAAGTTGAACAAATTTTTTACTATTCACTCTCAGTGATGTCTACAGCAGATATTGCCCATTTTGTAAATACTTTTTAAAAAAAGATGGGAATGGAACCTGTTCATGCTGTTGTTTGGCATGGACAATGTCTTTTAACTATCAACATTGTCCTGTGTAAAATATTCACCAAAGAATGAAAGAAAGTAAGAGTTAGATTGCAAAAACCATGAAAAGTTTAAAAATGCACTTGTATTCTGTTTTCTCTGGGCTGTTTAAATTAGACTTCAAGACTTTCTTCAGGAACTGCAAGTGCAAGAATTTTCATTTTTCTCCTAAACATTAATGGAAGATATAAACTTCCTTTAAATACCATGTTTCCAGGAACTGGGATTTTAGAATTTTGGCAACCATTAGGAAACTTGCAGTAAAATTAATAAAAACTGGAAGATCAGCAAAAGCTATTACTTTTAAACTCCCCAATTCACCAAGCAGAAGGTGGATGCAGTTTTCACTATATAGTATCATGACAGAGTGGCTGGGAAGAAGGAATGGTTTCCATGGAGATGTTTCTTTTCTTAAGAAACATGGCCAATGCTGAGCTTTTGGGTAGTTTTTAGCAAGCCACTGGAACTGTCACTTTATAGTTCATAAGCAGAAAAAGATGGTGTTTGTTTCATGGAAGTATTAAGTGTAACAGAACTTGTTTAAATATATTTTTCTCCAAAGCTTTACTGGCTTGAAAATGTAAATTTTGTTAATGAGTGAAACACAGCAAAACCTTTTTATTTAAGGATATTTTGACAGCTTCAATTATTTATGTTTTTAATATGGTTATGAGTTTGGTTATTTTTTTATGTAGAAGAAAAGCAGTCTCTGGGGACTGAGTGATACTAATAATATTGTTATTAGGATCAAAACCTGTTAAGTCTTTTCAATAGATAAATCAAAATGTGCTATCAACAGCAAGTCTAGGGCAGATCTAGAAAAGATTAGAGAAACCAATTTGTCTTTTAAATCTAGAGGTCTTGACTCAAGTATTCTTCCATATGTGGTATTAGAAATATATGTTGTTCTACTTAAGCTGTTCATCCATTGCCTGGATTTTACACGGAAATCTAAAATGTACCCTTTCCTAGAAATTCTAGATATCTCAATTAAAAGAATAAGTTGAAATGAATGATATATAAAATTTTTGAAAGTCAGGAAGACTGGAGTTTTGTCCCTTTGTGAAACAGGTATTCCAGACTGCAAATTAACCAAGCTTTCAACTGAAGTCAGTACATTCCCACAGTCTTCTCCCAAAATGACAAGAGTTGGCACCAACGAGCTGAATAGTTAATGCTTGCCAGGGATAGAAGCAAAATTCTTGCTAAAGTGGGGACAGAGATGTTTATAAAGCCCTTTTGTAAGCATTGATAATCATGTACCAAGTTTTTCTCCATAGAAGCTCTTTGTTATTGTGAGACAAAAGGAAGACAGGCAAAATACTAGGTTTCTGGAAGGAAAGAAAAATTAGCAGCCTCACACCAGCTGTTTTTTGGTAATTTAAATTATTGTTGTAAACAAAATACACTACTCCAAATGACAAAAATTGTTTAGTGTGGATGATTGGTTGATGAGAACTTCAGCCATGGAAATAAAGATGTTTGGTGTGTCTCATCTGCTAACAAGATACTAACTCTTGACATTTAATGTTTTGGTAGAATAAAAGAGGCATCATCTCAGCCCAGGCGAGAATACCAGCCCAAACCCCGTATGAGCCTGGATTTCACAACTGGTGACAATGCACAGCACAATGGAGGAATATCCCATGCCACCACACCCAAACCGTCAGGTAATGGCAGTAACAATGTGAGCAAAAAAGCCATCTGTGTTTGAAGTTTTGTATCAGTGCAGAAGTTGCATGCTTTCTTCTGGAGATTAGTTGTGAGGGAAGATGAAAATGGGGATAGCATAGGAGAGAACTGTTTGAACTGTTGTTTCTTTGTAAAGTGTTCACATCTCCAGGCAGGAGAACAGGAACGGACCGTCCACTGCTTCAAATGTGTCTTTGGGTCGAAAAGGTCTTTTGTAGTAGAAGGTTACCTTGTAATACAGATGTTTACAAAACAGCCATTTAGAAAACCAAAATAACAACTGAAAGTTTTACATGAAGATGCAGAAACCTGAAGCCCACCAGACCTCCATAACCTTATCCTGCTTTTCAGAACCAGGTATTACAACACAATGAGCCTGAAAGTAAAAATCACTGAAAAGAAAAACTCAGCCATCTGAGCTATTTTTTTTGTCCAGCTGGGAGCAGCACAATCAAGATGAAGAATTTACATGAGCGTGCATAATTAATATATTTAATAACTGTTTTTTCATATATATATATTATTTCATATGTATATATACATACCTACTAAGAAAGCCTTATTATTTGTTTCATACCGTAAGGATCTGTTATCCCATGTTATGGTGAGGGTGGTCCTCTGTCCAGACCCTCATGTCAGTTATTCCACTTTACTTCAGTGACAATTGCTAGCATATTCCACCTTGCAAGACTGGATTTTTTTCACTAGGTATTTAATCAGGATTTCCTTCCTTTTCATCCCATCCAGATGTGAATGTTTGATGTTCTCCCAGATACAGACAGTAACAGTCTCTCCATTTGCCACCTGCAACTAGAAATTATCTTACACAATCTTCTAGCAATCTCCTCACTATGCAATCAAGGAAAAGGATACAATAGAGATTCCTTGTTCATAAGTGTGGCTTGACTCTTGCATGCTGAAGCTCTCCTCATTCCACAGTAATTTTATTGTTCACTCTTTTTTGTAGCCGCATGAACACTTGTCTGTGCTAAGGCAGTGCAGACTGATGTTCCTATGTCTCTTCAGCATTCATATTTTTCTCTTCAGAGAGCAGTATTTAGCATTTTCTTCAATAGGGCTTTTTTTTATTTGTTTTTTGAAGTGCTTGTTGGTTTCAGAGAAATGCTTTCTTCTTTGAAAATTCTTGAATGCATGTTTGGGGTGGTTCATTTAAAGAGTTTATTTGCTAATTCTTCTAAATTTCAGCTGGTAACAATGAGGATACCAAATACATGTTGTATAGCTTGTTGGTGTCAGCACAATAGTCTTCCTGACAAAGAAACCAAAATATACTGTGAGTGATATGTAAAGAAAAGAAGTAAGGTTTTATTACAGAATTTAATAAATTAAATCTGGTATTTGAAAAACTTGCTCTGTTGAGATCTATAGAAATGAAATATTTTTGTCCTAAAATAGCTTAAGCATGGGTCTTCTAGCCAGAGTGAGTGTTTGAAATGAATATGCAAAAAATTTGAATCTGAAAGTTATTCATCTTGAAGCCAGTATACATGGAAAAGTAGAACTGTCATTTTGATGGAGTGGCATATGTTGTTTCATTCAGACCACTGGAAGTGTATGAACTTTTACTGTGGAAAGTCAGGTAGGGATATGATATCTTACAATTTAGTGCTACTAAATGCTAAATATTTTAACTAGTAACAGTTTTGCTTTTGGTAGGCTTGAGGCTATAGAGACTTCAGGGGGAGGGAGGATATTTGTTAATTTTGTATAATGTATGAATATCTCATTAACTAATGACTTATAATAATATCCATTAGCCATCTTAAACAGTTTATGGTCAGATGTTCATGAACTAGCATATTAGAAAGCTGTCAATTTCAAATTTGTTCTGAATCTATCCTGCTGGCCCTGCAATCAAGTGTTTTATGAGAAAAGGTCTTTGGAAATGTCTTATTAAAATTCAGAGGATTTCGAGCATATGCAGTGATATTACCTGTATCAGTGAAGTTTTCAAATAAAGGGCAAAGACACAGTTATATCTTCACTGTTGTTTTAAGGTACCCCTTACGCTACTTACCTGAGGTAAATAGACCAAGTGTCTCTGTGCCTGTAAAGCTGAAAATACATTAGGGCTTTTGTGGTGTGGGCCTGATGGTAGCTTAGCTATTTTTGGATTCTCAGACATTTACTAGCTGGAACATAGAGTAACTGAAGGTTACCAAAACTGATGGTTGTCTTCTAATGAAGTTTAGCAGATTATCAAAGAACTGTCATCAGCATATAAGTGATACTTGAAACAGCAAAGTCTGTCATAGGTATAGTGGTAAAATGTTGAGATTTTTAAGCACATTGGTTTTTTGTGTTTCTTCTCCATAGGTGCTCACATGGATCAGCCGTGCTGCCGAGCTCTGTATGACTTTGAACCAGAAAATGAAGGGGAGCTGGGATTTAAAGAGGGTGATATCATTACCCTCACTAACCAGATTGATGAAAACTGGTATGAGGGAATGCTTCATGGCCAGTCAGGTTTCTTCCCCATCAATTATGTTGATATTCTAGTTCCATTACCCAATTAGGATGGCTGATCCACCACCTCTGACACATATAGTTGTGTCAGTACCACTGCTTTCAGAATGCTGCTTCTTACACCTTACAAGTGCAAACTGCAGTGGTTAGAGTCATCAATTCCTAATGAGCGTCTTTGGTTTACATGTTGTCATACTATGTGGTGGTGATGCGTTGTATCTTCTGAGCTAGCATAGCGTGGATTAGTTTATTGACCATGCTGGCCTGGTAGTAACCAGAGCCATTAGTGAGATGAAACTGGGAAGATGATGGCAAGTGAAACAGGTAACTCAGTGAAACAGCAGAAAGTGAAGGTGATCTTGGGAAGATAATGCCTATCACTACTGTATTACTTTTCAGTTTAGTTCTCTATAAAAAGAAGGAAAAATTCTTGCCATTCCATCTTTCCCTTCCTAATGATACAGTTCACACAGGTCTAACATTGACTAACCAGAACTGTATCTTCCAACCAAACTGGCTGGCTGTTTTCACAGAGAGAGCTTATGTGTAGACCCTCTGGTTTCTCAGAAAGTGAACCACTGCACTGTGTGTCCTGCTGCTCTCTGCTAATTTTTGTATTCTTAATTATTGTTAAAAGGCCTGTTTCCATCCAGAGGTAAACTGTATGCTATGAAATGGGGATTCCTGTAGTAAAAATGTTGGACCACAAACCACCTGAATTTGCCCTTCAGGAACTTTTAGCATGCTCACCAAAATGCCAGTACACGGGCAAGACGGGGAATAAAACTGGCATTTATTTAATGTTTCTTGTCAAGTCTTGGCAGAAAACCTTGCTGCTTAAGCACCAGATATCCTTTGTAAACTCATCCACTGAGGAATACAGTAACCAACCAAACATGACCATCACTTCATTTTGTTTCTGTCTACCATGTGTTCTTCGAACATCATTTGCGCATACTCTCTCCTCAATGAGGACAAAATAAAACATGCTATTTTTTGTGTTGAGCAGTTAAAGACAAGTGGCTGTATATGCAGAAACATTTCCCATCTGTTTAGTTGGTTCTCTTGTGTTCCTCCTTCCTGCACTTAGTGTGTACAGTGTCGTGCCTAGCTTCTTGGCATTCTTTTGGTAACAGTTGCAGAAGTTCTGTTAGTTTAGTTATCCAGAGTTCTATTTATCTAAACTGTACAGACTCTATCAGAGGTTTAATGTGCTGCTTCGAATGTGCCACTTCTATACTGGATGATGTGAAATAAAGACAAATCCCTACTGCTTAATGTATAAACTATATCATGGAAAGTATTGTTATTTCAAATAAATGCTGAAAGAATAACTTGAATAATGTTGTGGATTATTGCTTTGTTGCTTTAAAATCTGTTGTGGTAACTTCAGCTAACAAAATTTTTTTTTCAGAAGGCCTATTCGTCATTTCCTGCCCTTTTTTTTTGTCATCATCATTTTGCTTCAGTCGCATAGATCTCATACTTATAATGGCCCCTGTAAACAGGATAAACTGAACACTGAGCACATTAAATTAATGTCCCAATGACCAGCATGCAGTCTTGCGGATACAGGTTATTTCTTATCAAAGAATACTGGTGTTCACAAACTCCCTAGTAAAGCTTAAAGACATGTTAACTTCTAATTTATTTATGGGCTGAAATAAAAACAGAGACACTGTCAGAAGCAAAACAGACTTGATGTGAAGAAAACTAATTGATAGCAATTAAAATATTTTTGTATAGTGAGAAACAAAAAGGAGCATCGCCTTTCCTGTCCCAGTTCCCAAGCTCAAATTCACTTCTGACTCCTCCCCACCAGCAGCACATGAGCATGAGTAATTGGAGGTTTATGGTCAGTCCATAATATCTCTCTACTGATTCTTCCTCCTCATTGTTCTCCACCGTTTCAGTGATAGTTCCCTGCACAGGCCTCAGTGTGAATATCTGCTGATGTGTCATGGATCATCTCCAGCTCATCCTTCTTTAACCTTGATGTTCCCTGTTTCTCACTCTTACTTTCCTCCTCCTCTTATCTCAGCACTGTGTACATGTCCCCATGCATGTTGACACAGACTGACAAAGTGGAAGAAAAGTCTGTCAGAGATGGCACCTCATTCAAGGCTCAGTTCAGTGTCAGGCTGGACAGGGCTCTAAGCAACCTGGTGTAGTTGAAGATGTCCCTGCTCATTGCAGCAGTCTTGGTCTCAGTGACCTTTTAAGGTCCCTTCCAGCCCAAACTATTAAAAAACCACAATTTCTGGAACTTTTTATTACAGTTCTGTACTAAATCCAAGGACTGGCCTCCAAGTAAGTTTCAGTCAGTGACTGCCACCACTGATGGTGGCATACTATAGTTAAGAACTATGTTACAGGTAATTAACTATGTTAATCATTAAGGCCTAACAGTCACACATAGTGTCCTGGCACACCTCTATTTTATCAGATTATTATTACATAGCATTTGTGAAGGGCATGCAAACATAGGACAACAACCTTAAAGATAATTTTGCATGATTTAGAGCAGAAGGGCAGTTGGCATGCAGTGCTACCCCACCCTGCTGAGGGGCCCTGTTTTTGAGATCTAGGGAAACGTACTGTATTTCGACAAATGGGGCCTGAAGGAATGCACAGAATAGTCAAAAAATCTGTTACATGCCATCACATGATAACGTGGGCCTTGTCTTGACATGTTGCACAATTCTTGGCACTTCCATATTGTTGTGTTCTCCGTCTCGCACAGCTAATCCCTAAAGAACAGTTTATTCCTCGGGTGGTGAGATCAAAATCTGACTTGGCCAAGGGAGAGATTACCAGGGCTGAGAAAAGTTTGTATCTAAAGCTTCAGTGCTAGGATGAAGAGGATGATCTAAAAAGCAGGAGGCTGTTTGGTTTTGCATATCAGGTAGTTCAAAACTTTGTCTGAGGAGTCCTGTGACTCTTTCATTCTACAATCACATAAGACATGTTGTTGATGGATACAGCATTCTTTTTTCACTTGGAGACTTACAGCTTCAGTCATCCTGCCGCCTAAGGTGTATGTTTTCAGAACTATTTAAAAAATGTGCCATGGGTACCTAATTACCAAACCTGGCTGTAGAACGTCTCCTCACAGAGGAAATTAGGAAGTCTACCAGTGCTGAGCTATCAGCTGCCAAATATAGATAAATATTTTAGTTTTGATGTTGGATTATTTTTTCTGTTGAACCCTAAGGTTTCATGAAGCTTTTACCTTCTTGGACTTCCTTTTTTATTGCAAAATGGATCTTTGTGAAAAACATAGCAAAATACCCCAACAGTTCCCTACGCTCTTCTCCATTTAAATAAAGAAGTGATTGAAAAGGTGTTTTTTTCTTATTTTAAAATATCCTCTTCCCTCCAGAAAGAAAGATGGTAGTCACACCTGGAATATTGTATTTGAATCTTGGCTTAGCGATTATACAGACAACTCTCCCTTTGCAGATAGTCATACTGCTTTTCTGGACAAGACTTCAAAATACTATGAGGACTTCTTTTCTGGTTTCACAATTCTAGGTCTTGCAAATCTTTATGGACATCACTATACTGAGTAATAGCTCCCTAGTGAGTAATAGTAATGTAGCCTAAGCTGATCATATCCCACAAAGGCAGGGATTAGGGTTTGTGTAGGTCAGTGTGGAAATGGGTCTTCTTCCCAGCATGGGGGTAGGCTGATTTTAAGATAGGTAAATGAAATAATGGATCTGGGCATATTCCTAGGTAACACTCTATAAAAGCGAGTACATTCTATAGACATGCTTAATT